AGAGTACGACGACAGCGACAACCACTGAAACGTTATTGAAGTCAAATGAACACGTCAGGCAAAAAAGACTGTTTCAAGTCGAAGCATTTTGACTCTTGAGGGAAATGGAAATCAGTTGATTTGAGGTGTCACATGAAAGCGAGGGAGTGAATAGTTTTTATCCTACGAAAAAATGCAAAGCTTGAACGTACTTTTTGGACTTTAGTACTACGTCATTTTTGTTTGATTACCTAAGCCTTTTAGGTCTACTTGCTGTAAGTTACAGAGCACATACCTAAGCGGCCGTCCCTCAGCAAATAATGAAGCAAAGGAATTTTCGATGTCGAAATCGAGAAACTCGCTCTTTTTACGCAAACTGAGAAGTTCGAATTACTAAACGAAGTACAGGAAGGCGAAGATAAAATATCAAAGAATCAACACATACCAAAAATTATATCTCAAATGTGAATATTCGTAGTTTATTTTAGGTCTAACCGGACCTTAAGTGGAACTTTGTTAGTACTCTAAATATCCAAATATATTCTAGTATAATGTAGTAACTAGATGAGGAAGAATAACATTTTTCATTTTAAATATAACTTAAACTATATACTTTCCCGCTTAAGAATTTGAGATTTGGGTGATCTTATCACTTAGACAAACACACCTGCAATGTAATTGAACTTCAACGACAAACAAACTCATTGAGTGACTATTTTATACAAATCCTAAACATCGTCACATTGTGCAGTCAATTTAACTCACCCACAATCTCAGCATATGATAGTGTACTGTACAAGTAACTGGTCAATATACACAGTGATAAGTCGACGGAATGCTTAGTTTGTTATGTTTTAAAACACGTAACTCTCCTCGAGTCGTTTTATGGCGCAATTAATATATTATATTCAGCACACAGGAGCACTTTCAGAAGCGGATAGGTTAGCCCATCCGTCGGTATCATGCTGAATCGAAATATGGCAGAATCCTAATTATGGGTCAAATAATTTATAACCAGTCAAATAATAACATGCGGCGAAACAATGAATACAGATGTTGTTACACATTACGAGCAATGTTTATGTTCTAAACGCAGAATTCTACCCATTGTATGGCGCAATTAGTGTAATATTCATATTTGAACAAACTGTCACGGAAAAGAAGTAAAGAATTACTTTGTAACATAATTTACATTGTGGGCACGTGATTTGACATATGCAAATTTCATTCTTTCACCGTAAGATGGCAGCAAAGGCGGAAAAAGTTACTTGTAAACTATCAAATTTACCGCACAAAGTCGGGAAAATGCCAAAAAGTAGACGATTAATACCGCGTTCACACTAGAAAAAGTTGGTCGACGAAGGTTGCACCCGATTAACATCTCAAAATCGCGTGTGATGGCAGTATACAACAAAGCGACAAATCCCTGTTCAAAAATGTACGTCGCGTAACTGTTATATTGCATTTCATTTGTTAATTACTATCTCACCCCCGTAACCTCGCAACTATCAACACGTAGTAGTATTCGGTTGCTATAATACATAGTCACATTATAGCGTGACCGCGCTACAGCCTGGAGGCAGATATTAAAACTTTTATCTGCTGCAAAGTGCTAATTTTATCGTTTTTTCTTCTTCTTTTGAAGCCTCGGATTAATAAATGCACGATTCCATGATTATTCTCCACAATATGTTTCGAACACAGCGTTGTGTTCGGGAAACTTGACTCGCTTAGCTGATAACACTTACACGCAGAGATACCAGATTCGACCCAAAGGAATACACATTAGTTCATTATAGCATGGACATACTAAACACCGTGCAG